GAGAAATGAAATATCCCCACTTTTAAGATTCTCCATTCATTTTTTTTGTGTTTACAATTTACGTAATGTCAAAATTACAAACGTAACCTAGTTTAATTTGAACTTCAACATACAGAAAAATTTATATGAGCTAAAATTTTGAAGATATTCGACTCCTTGACATAATTTAAAAAAAGAAGTGACTTTTTATGCTCATATGATATAAATAAAATTTATTTTAACCAAATTTAAATCAACAGAATGTGCATTTGTTTATAAATAGTGGGGGTAATCGGGAGGAAATTTTTCTCGCTATACCGAGAGACAGAGCCCTCGTTATAGAGAGCGCTCGTTATAGAGAAGGTCGTTATAGCGAGATTTGAGTGTATCTCATTTTGAGTAGTATACTCTATTTGGACAAACGACTAACTTCAAGTTGCTCAAAAAATAATAAGCATTACAGGTCGATAAATATTTTTAGAACGTTGGGTTGATAACATTTGTAGTTTTGTCATGTTATGCCATTTCATATATTTACTGCAAAAAATTTTAATTTTAATTAATTTAAGTTTAAGTATAAGAGAATTATTATAATACTAGATAAAATATCGTGCGTGTAGTTTTTGATTTTCATGTCAATAATACATTTTTAGCAATAATATCTACAAGTATTTCTAATTTTCTTATAAAATAAAACAAAGTTTAATTTCTTTTTAGTATTTCTTAAATACAAATTAAAAAACAGAAAGTTGCTCACACGGAAAAAAATTAATCTCTAAACTTGAAATAATATTAATTTGAAGTCCAATGAAATATAAGTGTATCTAAATTAAACATTAAAGTCACAATTACTGTGATAAGATGTGTTTGATTGTGTCAAACTTTATACCAGAAAACGCCATAAATTCACATCTCTGATTTAGAGATTTGTTAATTTCGCAACTTTTTTTATATGAATTAGGTACATTGTGTTTTAAGTTAATCAGTGACAAAAATGATTTAAACCATTTTAATTAATTAAGTATTAATTTTATTTTCAAATATCCAAATAAAAGCGAAGGTCTGTGAAGGAAGGTCTGTGAAATTTTAAGGTTACAATTGTCGCCCGACAAAATACGGCACTGACTGATTTAGATGACGTGAAATAGGTAAATAAACATTTTTCAACCACTTTTTCTCTAAACACAGACACTTTTTACAAAATAGGCCAACATACAATGGGTAAGAATCTTCTTAATAACCTGAATTCAAAAGATTGTTTAAATTCATGCAGAAACGCGGTTGTCAAGCGGTTGTAAAATGTAAAATTGGAAATGATTGGAAAGTAATGTAATGACAGACAACAAGAAGCGGATTACTGCCAGTCGCCAGAAGAGGGCAGAAGCATGCAGAGAGCACAATGGTCCAGCTGTTATATTCTTAGCATTACATCACTTTCCAATTTTACATTTTACAACCGCGTTTCTGCATGAATTTAAACCATCTTTTGAATTTAGGTAATTAAGAAGATTCCTACTCGTTGTATGTTGGCCTATTTTGTAAAAAGTGTCTGTGTTTAGAGAAAAAGTGGTTGAAAAATATTTATTCACCTATTTCACGTCATTTAAATCAGTCAGTGTCGTATTTTGTCGGGCGATAATTGTAACCTACAATTTTTACAGACCTTCCAACGCCGTTAAAACAAAAAAATGAAATAAAAATATAAAATTCGTATTGTGTTTTAAAAATATCCAACTACTTTTTTATACTTGTCAATGTATAGTTCATACAGGGAAAACAATATAAATATTTTGTGAATAATTCTCACTCTAAATTGTGATAAATTATAAATTCTTATTACATCGAGTTATTACAAAAATAAGAATTATATAAATATACGACTAAAATTTTTAATATTGTTTATTCAAATAATATATTAGATTTGAATTTATTCAAGTAAGTTGATAGTTTAGAACATATGTTCCATATGTCATAAAATTTGAGATTCCTAATATCATTTTTAGGCATAAGAAATACGTGTTCTTCACAATACTAATATTCGGATTAGATATAATACCAAATTTCAGTTTTAGTGATCTGCTTACATCTTACATCCGATTCCAGTGATAGTTTATGCCTAAATCTCAGATTTAATCTCTAATTTAGAGATTAATTTTTTTCCGTGCAGTATTATTTAAATATATTCCAAATGTCTATTTGTATTAAATATATTTTTATTAATTATATCACAGAACTAATTACGAATATCATTCAATAATCAATAGACTTAGTAGAGAGACTAATGACCTTCCTACTTGTATAGATTTTTTTATGTCAACTTTACTAGATTCACCGAATTATGATGGAATAGAAACTAGCAAATTTTTTACTTATTTCTAAAAAGACTGTTAGTTTTGTTTAAACTTTGTGAAAGACATTAATGATGCAAATTTAATTCTTTTGTTCAAAAACAAATAACTGAGAATTTTGAATGAAAATTGTGATTAAGAAATAAAAATTATATTTATTTATTTCACTTATTTCTAAAAAAAATTATAATTTCGTTTTACATCAATTGTAAAATTATAAAGATTGACTTTTTATAGAAGAAATTTTTTAAGGTCCTAATTTATTAAAAGTAATTGTAAACAATTTAATTATTGGAAATGATTAAATTATATCACTTTAAACAAACATTTTTGACACTTAAAAATATAGCTTAAAAAAGCTAAAATTACAAATAATTTTTCTCTTAAGGACTGTTTAGAATAGATTTTTTACTAAGAACATGAATACAATCAGAAAAGTGAATTAAAGTTGTGCAAATATTTTGCTTCTTTTTGTAAAACAAAATTATAATAACAAAACTTTAGTTTTGGATGGTCACAAGTTTCAGTTTATCAGTTTCCCTGACAATTTACTGACAATAAAATTATTTTCCCTGACAAAATTCTTTTTACAGGAAAATATGTCCATGTTTTTTTGCTTCAGTTTATTAATATATAATATTTTCAAAAAATTAAACTAATCAAATTTTTGAAGAATTTTAATTGTAAATAGGTATGACCATGATTACTCCGAAGTCTTAATAAGTTCTATAAAATAAATTTTTATTTGTTTTATTCGAATGTAATTAAATCTTAAAAAATTATGATAGAAGAATTCAAAGAATTAAGCAGTTTTTAATAATATTTTAATATAATTTTTCAGAAACAATTGAATTTATTAAAAGAGTTTTTGTATTATTTAAAATAACTAATTAATTTTTTGAGGAATTTTAATGAAACATTTTGAACAAATGTTATTATTTTTTGTATGTATTTGAATTTTCGAAAATATGTAATTGCTAGTACTGAAAATACTAAATTTAAAAAAATTATAAGCTAACTTTAATTAATTTTCATTTTTAAATTTATGTTTAAAGATTTTTCATTAAATTTTTTGATAATTCATTAAAAATTTGCAATTAAATATCTTCAAAAGTTGATTTTTAAAAAATTCTAACAAAATACTTGAAAAAAATTAATTATTTTCAATTAAATTTTACTAAATTTTAATTATTCAAAATCTTTTTAATTGTATTATTTCGAAAATTTAAATAGAAAAATGATTCAAAAATAGTTATTGAAAAATTTGTTTATAGTTATTTTTTGCACTATAAAAATCGAAATGAGTTACATTTAATCCAAAAAAATTTATTTTGGTGCAATATTTGGAAAAAAAGTCAGAGAGTCCCAATTTTTGAAAATAAGTTGAAAAAAATCCCAATTTTTCTCAATTCAAAAATTTTTTTTTCCTGACCATGTTTTAAATAGAATTAAAAAGAATTTGTATAATTTTTATTTGTTAATTACAATTTTTGTAAAAAAGATTAATTATTTTTAAAGGAGAAAAATTTGCATAATTTGTTTTTTCTCAATGACAATTTATTCACAATATTTTTTAAGTTTCATTAAACAGAATTTCTATTTTACGAATGTGTACAATTTGTACCTTATCTGAAAACTCGACGTATTAACAAAAAACAATAAAATAATAAATAAAAACAAATTTTTTTAAATTAATAAGGTTTTTTTAAAATTAATTAAAAATATAAATTTTGAATTAATTATAAAATAAAAAATTATAATATAATCTATCAAAACTTAACAATAGAAAAGAATACACACAAAGTTTGAATACTAACTTCGAACAAATAGAAAAAATAAATAAATATAGCTTAATATGTTCTTATTTTAATATAAAAATTTGTAACGCTTATAGAGGACCTCATGTATACAAGGGTGCAGTCTATATCGAATTATTAACAAATAATAATAATATAAATAGTCATATATTCAATTGGCTCTAAAATGTACATATTATTAAAAAATTCAACACGTTTTTCCTTCCAATGAGGAGGAAAAACTAACTAAAAAATAAATATATTACAATTATTTATTTATTTTTCTTTTATAATCATTATATTATTAATTATTTAAAATTATAATAACTAACAACACTAATAAGTTTTCAAGAAATTGTTATGTGATAACCGCTCACATAAGTTTTAACAGGATATTTTATTGGGTTATAACACAAGAATACATATGCAACTTTCGATGGTCTCATTTCAAAATTACATATTCCAACATATCAAGGTCTTCTGTACAGTGGAATTCATCACTGATTCACAGCCAGTTTTTCACATGACCTAGTTGTGTCAAGTTTCAGTATTCTATTTTTTATTTCCTGAATCCAACAACTTTCTCCAGGATCTTCTTCAACATGCAGCTCTTTCATGAATGTTACTTCCAAACGTTTTAACTCAATTTATTCATATTTCTATCACATTGATTCTATTAATTATTATTTATAAAAATTTTTTTTTAATATATATCATTTAATTAATTGATTTGACTAAAAAAATTCATTTATTATTAGAAAGTAGAGCTTTAAAAATTTAACCTTAACTTCCGGATAGCAAACATTAATAACTAATTGAATATCATATACGGATGTAAAACAAGATGTCTCGAAAAAATAAAAATGATAGTACTCACTAATAAAAAGCAGGACAGAAAGACCAATAGAATCTTCTCCCGTTTACTTGATATCGTCTTATCCATCGTTTATAATTTGAACACGTGCTGCTGTAAATAAAAAAAACAAGAAGGAGAATACAATTTTTTAAAATTGTTTTATTTGTAAGCATTGTATTACCAGTGAAAATGTTAATTCTGAATAAAAAATCAAAATGAAAAAAAACTTTTTCCTCTTTTAAAAATAAAATAAGAAAGTATCATCAATTCGGATATTTATATCCGTAATGTATTAATTTGTTAATGTATCAATGCTCACATACGGGTTTGGAATTAGTGGTACACTCATCGGTGATTCAGATTTAGAAAGTTAACTTTCTTAATTTGAATCTATGGAATCTCACTTAAAGTGAATCAGCAATAAGTTAATCGACAAATATTAGTGAAATATGAAATTAGAACCCAGTTAATTTTTTTATATCAGAATAAATTTGATTGCAATAGTAACACTAGTAATTAATTTCCTAAAAAAACTAACATTCATGCTGATAACAAGGTGCTAGCTTCATCTTAAAACCTTTAATCTCAAGCAGTCATTTAATAACATTTAAAAGAAAAACACATCTTTTAATTAAAAGTAGTTTTAACAGAATTCGGATAATAAGAATATCTTTAAAATATCCTTAAATTACACTGCTAAGAGAATGGAATATTTCAATTCTTTCTAAGTTATGGATTCAGCATTTTAATATAATAGATAAATAATTTATTCTATTTGCATTTAAATTCTAAGTGTCTGAACAAAGTCACACACACACACACACACATATATATATATATATATATATATATATATATATATATATAATATTTCAAGCTGAATAAGAATTTAAAAATAACAATTAATTTAACAAGTTACTTTTAGCATAGACGTTAGACTTTATATATATATATATATATATATAATTTAAAAAAAATTATTACAGAAATTTGTAGACAGAAGGAATACGTATGATTGTGAATTTTCAATTTACAATAAGACAAATTATTTGAATAAAATAAATAATATAATAGTATTTCTTTCCTTTTTCATGACAGCCATTAACGGTATGAATTTTCACTACTTTATATATAGAGCGTATAAGAAGTGAAAGCGCACAGTATTTATGAAAAAGTAGGAAATAATTTTTATACACTGCATTGTTTCAAAGAGAAATTAACATTTTAAAATAAGTCTGCTTTTCGTGTACAATCAGGCTGTGTACAATATATCAATTTTTAAATTAATAATTGAAAGAATTATGTTAAAAATGAATATATATAATTCTGTATCACTATTCTAAAACATCCAATAATACACTCAAAAAGTCACTTTCTCAAATTAACACTCTTTACCTTTTTTCACTTTACAGAAGATTTAAATTAATTTTGATTTCCTTTCGTGTAATATTAATTTTTTGAACAAATAATCACTCCGTCTTTAATAAGTTTATTGAGATTTAGTACCGCATCATCAAAATAGATAAAGTTTTAGTTAATAACTTTTAATAAAAGTAACTTTCGTGACCGACGAAGACTGACTGGACAAGCAAGAGGAACTCGTTTCCGCAACGAGTCACGTCCTAGTAACCTACTAACGATCACTTTAGTTCCATTCACCCCACCATCAACAGGTAAGGCCCCGTGCTCCTGTTCCTGGACTCCTTTTCTGTATAGTTTTCCCTTACTCTACAACCACATTTCACAACAACGTCTCACACCTGGACTCAGATGATATACAAGTTTCATTATCTGAATGATAATAAGAAATAAGTTAGGTAAAAGGGAGTAACAGACATTTTTTTTAATTTAAGAAGCAAAGAATAACAAAAGTATAAAATTATGTTCAAAGACTGTAAACGTTCATTGATAGAAAAATCGACCACAATGTGATTTACAAATTCGTTTACAACCTGAAATTCGTATTGTGTAATGATAATAATAGTATTAATATTAATTGCATATAAACAGCGGAATTTTTTATATAATTTATTTATTATGTATACGATAATATATATTTTATCTTTCTTTAGTTTTACTCTCACAGCATAAGATATTCTGAAATATAAAAAAATTTTCTTCCCGCCATATACCTGGCATATTCCACAGAACAGAGGAAAAAAGTTAGTTGATATAAATGGTTTTTAATAATTTTATATAAATGATAAACCAACATTTTACATAAAATACTTATACATAAAAAATTTTATTGATAAATTTTTGTTTTTAATTCTTGTTTTTCTTTTGCTTTTTAAAATTGACATTTATTTTATTTTTGATATTAATATATTTTTGATATTAATATATTTTTCTTTAATTTGTTGTATTGTAAATGCTGCTTTACAGGTACAGGATTTCAGTGGGTCGGGGCTGGTAGTAGGTCGCTGTGTTATTCCTTTATTTTATTTTTTCAATTACATCTTACATACCAACCCCACGTGACCTTGGAGTTCAGAATCCAAGGTTAGCAGATTTAAGCACAATACTCTCATAAGAAACTCTCGTTTCCAGAAGTTTTCCGTAAGTCACTTCCGGAAATATTTTTATACATGGGAATAAAAATATTATTTCATAGTCCGTGTAGAAATCGCACCATTGTATGTCTGAAGTAGTATGTACACGTTTACTTTATTTGTAAAACTGTCAATTTTTCTTTAAGTTGTTTAAAGCATTTTATATTTAAATTATGCTTTTACTCCCTCACAGCAAAAAGATATCCATAAAATATCAGACTTGGACACAGGATATCTTCTTATCGACATAAGAAATATTGATGAACATGAGCGAGAAATATGAGAAATGAGCGATATTGAGAAAGACTTTATTCTTTTGTTTCTTTTTCTCATCTCGTCTCGTCTCATCTCATAAATTACTATTCTCAAATCGTTTAATATCTCAAACATTAACCTCTTGTGAGTCAAACATTTGAATATCTGATGTCAGATTTCAAAAATTGAAAATAGCGGATCGTATGTGGCAAACATCAATTTTAAATATTTACTTATTTGTTTAAACCGTTTGTGGCCCAAAAACTATTTTTTCAATTTCGTTTGATACATTTTTTTCAAATTATAATGTTTACATTCCCTTTATTAATTTAGGATTTATTTATATTATTTTATTATTTTGCAAACAAATAAAAATAAAATAAAACTTGCCAACTCTTGGAGAAAAAAGTTATTATTCTTTCCTTGAACAAAAAATTTATTTGAATCAAATATTTTTATTTACATTAAATAAATTTTATTTAAACCAATAACTTTTTTAAATGTTTTTTAAAATAACTATTCTAAGTATTTTATTTAATTTGAACTACTATCTTTATTAATGTCTTGAAAATGAAAGAGAAAACCTTCTAAGTGGAATAATAATGAAAGAAAAATTTTTTTAGATTCTATACAGTCAAGAATCTTGAAGCGAAAAGTCAAAAAAGAGAAAATTATTTTTAACTCCATAGTGAAAACATTGTGGAAAATGGATCTATCTAAAAGGAGTGTTATTTACTTTATTGTAAACATTAAAAAATGTATCTATTGCAAAAACTAAATTCAGATTAATTAATTTGTTTTTAATTTATTACCAATTTAATTTGGTATTTAATTTAAAAATAATATTACTTCCATATAATTTTGTTGTAAAAAATATAAAAATCTGCTAAATTTTTTATTCAATTATCACAAATTATTGTTAATAAACAAAGATTCACAAATTTCAAAATGAAAATAATTTAATATTTAAATAATTGGTTTTGTAAAATTAATAAATAAAATTTATTTAAAATGAATTTTATAAGAATTTAAAGAATTTGCAAATGTTTCAGTAGTGAAAACAAAATACAGTGTGCCAAAGTGATAAATTGAAAATTAAATATTCTTTAAAAAACTATATTTCATAAAATGCTTCGAAAAAGGAATTTTTATACCTACTTGTTAATAATTATAAAAATAATAAAAAACCATTTGGTATTGAATATTTTAATACTTTAATAATATAATTAATAAATAAAAAATGTTTGCATCGTGGAAAAATGATCTAAGTGAATTTGTCATTTAGATCCCTTTTCCACTGGAAAAAATAATTTATCAATTTTTTATCAAAAAATAAAGAAAATACTAGAGAAACAATTTATAGAACAGTTTTTCTCCTCTTTGGAAACATTTTAAACAACTTTTTTATCAAAAAGTATTAATAAAAGACGAGATTTTTGATTATAAGAATACATACCTACTTCATAATAATCTATCGAGATCGATGAGACATCTGAGAATCTCGTATCAATGTACATCACTAATAAGAAACTGAATAATATTAATTTTAAGTAGCTAACTACTTGCTTCATTTTTTAAATAAAATTCAATTTAAATAAAATCAACAATTTTAAAAATAATAGAATTTAACCCTTAAACCGCACCCTGGGTATGCGACACCCATATTCCAGCTTTTTACTCTAATATTTCGGTTAAATTCGTAAAAATTGAACATGTGTTGATATTAGACGGTACATTTTGTACTTTAACCCGTTGCCTGTTTCCGACCCACGGGTGGGTCGTGAAAAAGTATGGCCATAACTGTTTCCGACCCACCCGTGGGTCGTGTTCACTATCACTCAAAATAAATATAATTTGTATATAAATTGATAGATATTTTTCTTTATATCAAAATTATAAGAAATTATAAGGGTCATTAATGATATTTTAGAAAATAATTGAATAATTAGTTATAATTTAAATATATTATGCTATTTGAAAAAGTATCAGATTCCGCTGGGCAGTTTGGGACAATCATGTTGTATATTCCTCAAACAGTTAAGGGGTTAATTTATGTTTCGTGAGTGACATTAGTCTGCCAAGTGTCTTTGTGTATTTGATAACTTTATGAAGTTGACGGCAAAAAAATTCTGCTTATCTGACACCCAGTTTTTGGTTTTAGGTAATTTCAGTAGTTTTAAAAAACTCTTTTTTAATTATTAAAATTAAATAGATCATTATGAAACCTATTTTCCTTCAAAATAGATGTACTAAGCTATATAAGATAATTTTTCCAAAAGATAATATCCTATTCCAGCTTGGAGAATAAACTTAAAAGTCCCCGGGTGTCGCACACCCAGTATGCGGTTTAAGGGTTAAAAATTTTTCATTTAAATTTTTTTTTATAAAAATAAATATATTATATAAAATAGAATAATCATATATTCTGAGATAGGAAATTCAGGGAAAAGTCAGGAATTTTTATTAAAAGTAGGTACTAGAAAAATTACATTTTTAAAATTCATAAGAAAATTCTGAATTTTTGTGTCTTTTTTCTTTGACACATAAACTATGAAATTACCATGAATTCAAATACAGGACCTTCAAATTTTTATAATTCTGACAATGATTTTTTTCAAATAAATTAATTCTTAAAGAACTATCATCAAATTATTACTTAGAAATTATGTAATGGATAATTTTACTTAACCCTTAAAGCGCACACTTACGAATCCATTAAAGTCCCAGGGACTTTAAAGTGTGTTCTCCAAGCTGGAATAAGATATTATCTTTTAGGAAAATTATCTTATGTAGCTCAGTACATCTATTTTGAAGGAAAATAGGATTTATAATAATTTATTTAATCTTAACAATTAAAAAAAAGTTTTTTATAACTACTGAAATTACTTAAAACCAAAAACTGGGTGTCAGCCACTCAGAAATTTTTCACTGTCAACTTCATAAACACGGAGAAAAATGGAGTTTGAAAAACTGGGAGTCAATATTGAAAAAACAGGACTCAGTCCAGTAAAAGTACATTAATTCATTTCCATCAAGCATCTTAGGGTATTGCGTATAGTGTATAGAGGGCCTTAGTTCCAAATGTCAATGTAAAGAGCATTGAAACACAGGCGAAGATTATAAGGCGCGCTGCAGTGTGCATAGTAGAGAAACTGGACTCAGTCCCCTATTTCGAAATTTTCACAATAAGGGAACATAGGCGCGGAACCTGTCAAAATAAATGGCCGACGCGACGCGAAACGAGTGTTTCCTTTTATTCACTTCGTCAATTTTATATAAAAAAAACAAAAACCAATCATTAAAAAAAGAAAAATGTGTTAAATGCACTCTTTATATATTCATCTTCATTAATTCACAAGTTTTATTCTTCCTACATCTTCATACTTACAATTAACAACTAAATGCATCAGAAAATCTTACAATCATACGGGATTGAACACCTACCTAACCATACAACTAAATATACGCATAATTATAAATCGCACGCTTTTACATTAAGCCTCTTGGCTACGCAATCGATGAGGGAAATTTCCTATTTAAGAAACATCCCTTACCAATGAAATAAATTAGATCATGCGTGGATTTTACTTTGTAATTAATGTAAGTATGTATGTCTACAATATTCATAATATTGAATAAATAATATTGTCAACTAGTTTCAATTTGATACGGTTATTAGAATTTAATAATAAATAAATAAAAAACATTAATTTTTTCTTAACCTTTTTCAAGTTTGACTCTCCTCATGGTAAATTTGATTATTCTTTTTTTTCGGGTACAAAATAGTGAATTGACCTTGAATGAAATGTATAATTAATTATTCTCACAGC